CCCACAAGCTTCCTCACACTATACGATTCGGACTTTCGTGAGAAAACATAAGCTAACCAGGCCGCTGAATCACTCCTCATTTCTCCTCCTACTCTCGGTCAGCATCACTCTACTCCCTCCGATGCACCCCATCTCTCGACGTTGCTAACCCTTCAGACAACTCTCGCTCTCAGGTCCAGTAGGGTCGAATAGGTTCTGTAGCCAGGCTCACTCAACCGTCGCCCTGGTGTGCTCTTCTACCTCCTACGCCCGGACCGCCACTCCTATCCTGGGAAAATGGGCGTCTGTAACGTCAATCTCTTCCTCGTCAACCTCACTCTCTGGGTCGACCCAGTCTGGCTCCCAGGCGTCCTCGTCGTCCTCTCGCTCCCAACCCTCGTCGTCAAACTCGTCCTCGACGCGGTATGGCGCCTGTCCTATACCCTGGTAGTATTGTGCCAACTGATGGCCGTATATCAGAGGTCGCCCGGCGTCCTCACTCCACCAGCTCCCCCAGTCGTCTGAGAAGAGTCGCCCGATGCAAGTCACGTACTCGGGGCCTGCTCGGAGCTCACGGTCTAACCAATCCCAAACGCACGGAGACTGGGGCCACTCGTCGTCTATCAAGCGGATCAACTCTATAAGCTGAATCCTCTCGTCTCCCCAACGAGGCCCACCGGTCGCAAGCAAATAATAGATGTAATCTAGGTCAGCAGGCCTTCTCGCCAGGATCTTGAGATCCTGATAGGCCAGGTATGTCTCGACCACTCCTCCAATACCTCCAAAGACGCTCYCTACTACGAACGTCGGAACTATCGCCCGCAGGCTCCTAACGCTGTACGGGAAAAACCCGTCCCGTGCTACCACCAGCTCGCCCGTGATATCAAGAGGAGGGCGTCCGTGAAATAGGGTCAACGGGTCGCTCGCGTCCTCCTCTCGGAAAGCAACTACCTCTTCCCCTAGGTAGCGTAACGCCCTGCTAATTGCGTCACTAGTCCCTGTCATCGCGAGGCCCACCACGGCCTCCCTGACCGCACCCGGTCCCAAATACAAGAAAGCTCTCACTACGCCCACTCCTTGCCCCGGCCGGTGCTCTCTGTACGTCCAAAGCCACACGTCCTCGGACAGGATTATGAACCTCCACGCAAACTCGTCGTCAGCGTGTAGAATGCTGCGTCCGGGGATCGTGAGCTTGACCAGATCCCCCTCTATCAGTTCAGGGGGCTCTAAGTCCCAGTCAATGGTAGCCCCATAGACCTCTACTTGCACCCGCGGCCACATTCAACTGGCGGCTAGAGAGAACGCAGCAAGCGGGAGGTGTGGATTAATAACTGAAATTTCGCGTCACTTGCCTCACGCCTTCGAGAACAAGCTAGAAGGTTCACCTGAAACCAGGTTACCGCAACGTTTCTTTCCCTTTCCCTTCTAGGCCTTCTAGGGAATTCTTTTGTATTTTTTAATTAAAAATTAAAAAAAATGTATTTAGTTAAGATAATTTTTTTTTCTTAGTTTATATATATTAAGGATCAATACTTATATAAGCCCGCCGAGT